CCCGCGGCGCTCCTCCGCGCGAAGAAGGCGGAGCNGCGGCGGANCCGCGCGGAGCGCCCGCGGCGGCGGCGGCCCGGCCGCGACGGCGGCGGCCCGCGGCGGCGGCCCGGCGGGCGGCGGCCGCGCGAGCCCGGCGCGCCGGCGACGCCCGGCGCCGCCGCCATCGAGCGGGCCATGTCGACATCGTCCGCGTCGTAAACGCGTGTCTATCGCGGCCGCGGCGGCGCGCGCGCGCGGCGGCGGGCCTCCTAGACCGTGTCCGTCTTGGGCTTGTTCTTGGCGAAGGTCGTCTCGAGCTTCTCGACCTCGAGCTTCTCGAAGTTCTCGAGCTTCTCGCCCTCCTTCTCGAGGAGCTCCATGGACTGCATGAAGCTGGAGATGTGGTCGTCGTCGCGGTAGAACGAGATGTCGCGGTAGTAGGGCCCGTCGTCCCGGTCGTTGACGACGTAGTCGACCTCCGCGGCCTCGTCGAGGGCCTCGGCCCTGTCGACGTCGGCGATCTTCTCGATGATCTTCTCGTTGATGAACTGCTGGCGGCCCATCTGGAGGTGCACGTCGAGCGGGACCTCGTCGAGGAAGATCTTGATCGCGCCTGCGCCGAATTCAAATCTTCAACCCGACTTCAATGTGGGCGTACGCGACAGTTTCGGCGCAACCTCTTCGGCTGTGCTTCGAGAACCCGACGAGAGCAATCGATGCGTCCAAAAATCAGCCGAATCGACTTCGATTTGACGGAGCTAGAGAATTCTGAAGTTTGGTCAGGACCACCCAAACCGGTGGTTGAATTCGGCACAGGATCGCGCCCATGACGGAGAAGAAGGCCATGACTAAAGCGATGAAGATGGTGTCGCGCTCGTGGTGCGTGTAGCCGTGGCCGTTGTTGAACGACGACGTCACGTAGATGGCGATGGCGACGTTCGTGATCACGCCCGCGACGTTGAGGTAGCCGAAGAAGTCCTGGAAGACGCCGATGTCCTCGACGGCGTTGGGCATGATGCGGCGGTAGAGCGTGAGGAAGGCGTAGGTGTCCGTGCGCATCTGGATCGAGTTGATGATCAGCGCGCAGACGGGCGCGCCGGGGAACGCGGCGGAGAAGAGGATGACGTAGCCGTACTGCATCGTGATGAGCATGTAGTCGTAGGTCGTGTCCAACACCTCGTCGTACTCGAAGAGCACGTACTGGAGCTCGGGCACGGACATCTCCGTGTCGATGCCGCCCTCGCTGCTCTTCTGCCAGTACTCCTTGAGCAGCGGCATGAGCACGCGGCTCGCGTTCTGCGAGACGAGCGCCACACCTAAGATGACGATGACCGTGGTCCGGAGCTCGCCGAAGACCTGCTCGGCGACGGTGTCGTAGCCGTTGTCGTCGCCGCGCGCCTTCTGGTTCGTCGTGAACGGGTTCGCGTAGTACTGGATGAACGTGAGGTAGTAGAGCGGCGCGTAGTAGTTGACGATGTAGAAGTAGAACATCTTCGACGTGAGGTAGTCGTGGTACTGCGTCTCCGTGCGCCAGTTCTCGCGGTCGTTGAGCTGCACGGCGACGGCCTTGAACAAAAAGTAGAAGAACTGGATGCCGAACGCGTTGACGAAGGACACGAAGTAGGAGAAGAGCTGGAAGTCGATGGACCCCAGGAAGCCCGGCCGCGCGGCCTTGAGGTAGAAGACGACGCCGAGGAACGCCAGGTTCAGCAGGATCATGAACAGCACGACGAAGACGTTCGCGACGATGGACGGCTTGCGCTCGTGGGGCGGGAAGAAGACCTCGGGCTTGCCCGTGATGGGGGACGCGACCATGTAGCCCGTGTACTGGGGCCGCGGCTTCTCGTTCTCCTCGAAGCCCCGCGTGCCCCAGGTCACGGAGAGCGCGCACTGGCGCGTCTTCCACTTCTCCGAGACGACGATGGACCAGATGACGAGGAAGAAGGTGTAGGAGATGACGGCCTTGGTCGCCTCCGTGCCCGCGACGAGCGTCTCCACCAGGATCGCGAAGCCGACGGCCGCCAGGATGTAGTACGCGGACGTGATGTGCGCCGTGAAGGCCATGCGCATGCCGTGCATCTCGCCGAAGTAGTTCTTGTACTGCGCCAGGGGCAGGTGCGTGTAGGGCGGGTGGACGAACGAGCTCCAGGGCTGCTGGATGAACGCCGCGTAGAGCGCGTTCCGCTCGGCCGCGTCGTGGAGCGTGAGGAACGCGAGGATGTCGTCGTGGAACGTGAGGGAGTTGATGTCCAGGCCGCAGCCGCCGTCCTCGACGCGCGAGTGCAGGATGTCCCAGATGAGCTTCGTGCGCATCATCGAGTTGAAGGGCCACTTCGTCTTCTCCTCCGACGGCGGCACCGCGTACAGGTCCACGAGGTCCGGGTGCGTGTCGTACTTGGCGTGGATGTGCTCGTAGGGCCGCCAGCGGCACATCTTCTTGCCCCGGCACTCGTTGCCGATGTGGATGGGCTTGATGCCCAGCGCGGGGAAGCCCGCCGTGACCTTGCGCTCGATCTTGACCTGGGCGGCACAAGAGTGATTCGACGTCGCTTCGACGCGAGCGTTCCGCGCGCGCGCGTTCCGTAGAAACGCATCCACGCGTCGAGACCGTTCCGAGACGTCCAAAAGTCAGCCGAAACGAGTGGCACACGGCCGAGATCTGAGCCTTTGAAGTTGGGAAGTTCGCTCTCTTTCCACACCGATCTCGACCTCGTCGAGCTGGTACGACGCGCCCATGGACTCCGCGTGCTGCTGGAGCCGCTGGAGGGACGCGCGGACCTTGACGTAGATCTCGTCGCCCTGGACGCTCTTGTAGGCGTAGTGCTGCAGCCCGCTCTGGGTCAGCTTCTTGAGCAGCGCCTCGAGCGTGAGCTCCGTCCGCGGCTTCTTGAGCAGGCCCTTGAGCTCCTCGCCCGCGAGCTGGGTCAGGCCCTGGCTCAGGCGCTTCACGGCGTTCGTGACGACCTCGGGCTCCGACGCCGCGGGCTTGAGCGGCGGCGGCGCCTCGACGTCGCCGGCCGGCGGCTCGTCCGCGTCGGGCACGGCCAGGACGAAGCAGCAGTCCCACTTGCCGTAGGTCTGGGCCCGCTTCTTCGGCGTCTCGGGCTCCTGGCCCGCGGCGTCGAACTCGCCGCCGAGGGGCGGCGGCGGCGCGGCGGCGGGGGCCTGGAGGCCCACGCACCCGAGGAAGCCGGAGGCGCCGGCCGCGTCGTCCTTCTCCTCGAAATCCGAGCCCCCGACGGCGTCGTGGAAGCCCGGGTGGTCCCCGAGGTCCTTGCCCTGGGGGCTCCCCGCCTGGCTGCCCACGTCGGCGCTCATGGGCTCCAGCTCGACGCGCTCGCCGCTGTCGGCGCGCGTGTTGTCGGCCATGACGACCGGGGCGTCGTCGATGTCCGCCGGCGCCTGGGAACTTTTGGCGTAGACGCGCTCCGGGCCCGACGAGTCCCCGCCGCCGCAGAGGTCGCACCAGGGGAGCTCCGACGCGGCGGACTGCGCCACGGTGCAAGGCGACCGACCGGGCTGCCTTGATCAACAACAAAATTGTGCCTGTGGAGCGGCAAGTTCATGTTGCCGTGAACGTGGGCGCGGGGCGAGCATGTTCGCCAGGATGAGCGCCTGCATCGACGTCGCCGTGCCGTAGTAATGCAACCCGTCGAGCGTCGCGTCGTACCTCGCCGCCGTCACGTTCGTCAGGTCGAGGGCCTCGCCCGTGGCGTTGTCCGGGAGCTCGCGCGCGAGCCGCCGCGCGATGGACAGGGTCTCGAGCGACTTGCCCGTCCGGAAGTTGGCGCGGCGGAGGCCGAGCGCGCACGTGAGGCTCGCGAAGACGAAGCGCACGCGAACGCCCGCGAGGCCCGCGGCGAGCTCGGCGACGACGGACCGCGCGAGCGCCAGCAGGGTGCCGTCGCACGCGCCGTCGACGGCGTGGGCGGCGCCGAAGTTGACGACGACGACGACCGCCGCGCCCGGCCGCGCGCGCGCGCGCGGCGCCCAGGTCGACCGCACGCGCGGCGCGACGAGCTCGCGGAACTGGTCCGCGCTCCACATCTGGAGGTAGCCCGCGCGGACCGCGGCCTTTTCGAACGTGGCGCCGGCGCCGGCCGGGCGCAGGTAGAGGTCCGCGCGCGTCGCGGTCGAGCCGAGCAGCTGCGCGAAGGCGACGTAGAGGAGCCGCGCGACGCCTGAGCAGGCGGACGTCGCGGCGCGCGTCCCCGCGGCGGCGGCGCGGGCGGCGCGCTGTCCCCGACGAAGAGCACGGCGCCCACGTCTTCTTCCGCGAGGGCCGACGCCAGCGCGGCCGCGTCCTCGAAGTAGTGGTACGCGCAGGTCGGCGCGACGAAGCGCCACCGGTCTCCGCCGTTCGCCGCCCGGAGCGCCGCCTTCTCGCGCGCGGCCGCGCGCTCCGCGAGCTCGGCGTTCGCGTCGACGGCGTCGAGGCCGCTCAGGCCCGCGAAGAGGGCCTCGGGGTCGCCGGTGTACGCGCCGCACGCCGCGCGCCGCGGGCGCCGCGCGACCCACCGGCCGCCGCTCGTGTCGCCGCTCCGGCACTGGCGCAGCGGCGGCGCGGCGTCGCACCGCGCGTCGCCGCGCGCCGCCGCGCGCTCCCGGGCGAACGCGGGCTGCGGGCCGTCGAGGCCGCCGGCGGCGTCGGCGACGCGCACGACGACGCCGACGCCGCCGGGCACCGCCGCCGCGGCCTCGCACGCCGGCCGCGTGTAGTCCCGGGGCTCGCGCTCCGCGCGCGCGCCGAGGAACGCGCCGCCGGAGCCGCCGCAGGCGTCGTCGAGGAAGTGCGTCCGCACCGTGACGTTGTAGTCGCCCGCCAGCTCCGGCGTCCAGCGCACGACGAGCGCGTTCGGCCCGTCGGTCGCGACGCGCGCCGCGAGCGCGCGCGCGGGCATGCCGAGCGCCCAGACGACGGCGTCGCGCGACGCCTCCGCGACGAGGGTCACGTAGAACGAGACGCGCCAGAGATGCGACGTGTTCGCGCAGTCGCTGACGCGCAGCAGGTCGACCGCCTCGCCGGCGACGGCGGCCGTCGCGACGTCGCTCGCGACGGGCGCGACGCCGCGGCCTTCGAGCAGCGCCGGGAGCCCGAAGCACCGCGTGGCGCGGCCGACGACGCGCGGCCCCGTCGGCGGCCGCGCCCGGCACGCGGCCGCCGCCGCGGGGCGGAGCGCGGCGCTCCTCCCGTCGGGCGCGAAGTAGGGGTTCCGCGGCGGATCCCGCGGCGGCGCGGCGCCGAGGCGGAACTCTCGGACGCGGTGCGTCCCGCGCGGCCGCGACCGCGCGTAGGTGCCCCGGAAGGACCCGCCCGTCGCGAGGCAGTGCTCCTCGACGCGCGCCGAGCACGGCGGCTTGCGCTTCGTGGCGCGCTTGATCACCAACCTCTTCTTCGTAGCCATGTCATCCGCGGCGGCCACGAGGAGCGCCGCGCAGAGCAGGGCTCTCATGCAGTCGTCGGCAGAGGTCGCTGCAGCTCTGAGAGGCCCACGCAGCCCATCACGACTGAGACTTGGACTCTGAAACTTGTGAGTTGCTTGAGGTTCAAGGTGTCGTTAGTCGGTCCCCGGCGCGCGGAGGTCGAGCTCCGCGTGGGACCAGATCATGGCGTCGAGGCGGTCCTGGCGGCGGTGCGCGGCGTTGTGGAGGTTGCGCGCCATGCGCCTGCCGATCTCCAGCGGCGACGCGGCGGGGAACGGGTCCGCGTCGGCGGCCTCGTCCGCCGCGACGTCCTCGGCGTCGTCGTCGTCGGCCGCGTCGCGGCGCGACCGGCGCAGGAGCTGGTGCCGCGTGAGCATGCGGCCGCCGCCGAAGGCGTCGAGGAACACGGCCGACGCCGGGTCCGGCGCCGCGCGGCGGAGCACCAGGGACACGGGCTCGGTCCGCGACTCGAGGACGAGCTCGTCGCGCGACACGGCCACGGCGTCGACGTCGCGCCAGGTCGGGTTCGAGAAGCCCGGCCCGGCGACGCGGATGCGCCCCGTGGACCGCTTCGACGCCGCGGCGTCGCACGCGAACGACGTCTCGCCCGCGGGGACGTGGTCGTCGCCCGAGACCTTGACGCCCGCGAGCACGCCGTCCTCCAGCGACAGGGTCACGAGCTCCTTGCCGTGGGCGCCGTACTCCGCGAGGAAGTCGCCCTCGTAGGCCGCGCCGACGTCCGGCGCGCCCGGCGCCGGCGCCGCGTCCGCCAATCGCGGCGGCGGCGCGGCGGCCGCGACGCCGCGGCCGCGGACGCCGACGAGGAACCGGCCCTCGGCGCCCACGGGGAAGACGCCCTGGAGGCCCGCGCGCCGCGCGACGGCGACGGCGACGACGGCGAGCGTGATGGGCAGCGCGCCCCGGTCGTCGCCGCCCAAGGCGGCGACGTCGACGCGGTGGCTCCTCGGGTCGTCGAACTTGCCCGCGGCCGGCCGCAGCGGGCGCGGCGACCCCCCGAAGAGGCTCGCGTCGAGGGCGCAGAGCACGTCGAAGAGCGTCGCCTCGCCGACGTCGCCGTGGATCTCCTCGAGCACGGCCCGTAGATGCGCGGCGCGCGCGTCGAGCGCGGCCTCGGCATCGGCGACGTCGTCGTCGGTCGCGCCCGCGAGCCGCGCGACGCGGAAGCCCATCGTCTCCTCGTCCGTGGCGCCGGGCGCCGCAGGCGCGCCGCTCTCCGCGAGGCGCGCCGCCGCGCCGGCGACGCGGTCCGCGGCGGCGACGGCCTCGAGCGCGGCGTCGACCGCGGCGTCGCCGGCGCCCGCGTCGAAGGCCGCGCGCACGGCGGCGCGCGGCCCGCGCTCGGCGCAGGCGATGGACGCGCGCTGGACGACGGCGGCCTGGGACCGCAGCGCCTCCGGCGCCAGCGTCCCGCGGAGCACCATGTCCGCCGCGTTGCGCCGCGTCATCTCGCAGCGCGGCGCCGTCGCCTCCACGGTCCTCGCGGAGCGGTAGAGCGCGCGGAACAGGGACACGACGAGCTGGCGCTCGGCCATGGCTGCCGCTGCCGTCCCGCGGCGACGGCTGGGCTGGGCACGCGCGCCGTCCGTCGACGCGGAGAGGCGATTGCCACAGCCCTGCAGGGACAGTGCTCGATGACGGCCACATCAACTGGGCCACATCCACACCAATCCATTCGAGCGGGCAACGAGCCCGGGCGGCGCTTGTCGCGGTATAACCAGGCGCGTAGGCCGCCGGACGAGGCGCGCCCCGCCGGTGCGGTTGATCGCGGGGTCGCGCTTGCCGGAGACGCCGGGCCGCCCGCCGTTCGCCATGAGCGGCGTGACGACGTCCAAGAGCTTGGACGAGCAGATCGCCCGCGTCTACAAGAAAAACACGCTCACGGAGTCGGAGATCACGCAGCTCTGCGCCTTCGTGCGGGAAATCCTGAAGAAGGAGTCGAACATGCAGTTCGTCCGCGCGCCCGTCGTCGTCGTCGGCGACATCCACGGCCAGTTCTACGACCTCCTCGAGCTCTTCAACATCTCGGGGAAGCCGCCGTTCACGAACTACCTCTTCCTCGGCGACTACGTCGACCGAGGACACTACTCGCTCGAGTGCGCGACGCTTGTGAGCGCGCCGCGTCCCGGCGGCACGAGCGGCACGACCGCCCCCCCGCCCCGCGCGCGCGCGCGCGCGGCCGCGCGTCCCGAGCGCCGCCCCCCCCCCCAAACGCAGATGGTCCTGCTCAAGGCGCGGTACCCGCAGCGGATAACGATGATCCGCGGGAACCACGAGTCGCGGCAGATCACGCAGGTCTACGGCTTCTACGACGAGTGCCTGCGCAAGTACGGCGACGCGAACGTGTGGAAGGAGTTCACGGCGCTCTTCGACACTTTGCCGCTGTCCGCGGCGATCGAGAACCAGGTCTTCTGCCCCCACGCGGGCCTGAGCCCGTCGCTGGACACGGTGGACCACATCCAGCAGCTGAACCGCTTCCAGGAGATCCCCCACGAGGGCCCCATGTGCGACCTCGTCTGGAGCGACCCGGACGAGCGGTGCGGCTGGGGCATCTCGCCCCGCGGCGCGGGCTACACCTTCGGCGCGGACATCACGGAGCAGTTCCTCACGACGAACTCCTTCAAGTTCATCGTGCGCGCCCACCAGCTCGTCATGGAGGGCTACTCGTGGACGCACCCCAACACGTGCGTGACCGTCTTCTCCGCGCCGAACTACTGCTACCGCTGCGGCAACATGGCCGCGATCATGGAGATCGGCGACTCCATCGACACGCGCCCGGAGTTCGTCATGTACGAGGCGTCGCCGGACCAGGGCGACAAGAAGGAGCTCAACCAGCGCATGCCGGACTACTTCCTCTAGGGGCGCCCGAGCGCGACGCCGCGCGGGGCCCCGACGTCCGGGGCCCCGCCGGCGCGCCGCCGGCCCCGTTGGAGACCTCTTAGCCCCCGCGCGCCGCGCCCAGGCCGCGGGACCCCCCCACCCCCCTCGCCGTCTCGCCCGGCATCGTACAGTCTTAGATGCGGCGCCGCGGGGGCATATGCATTGGCCGGGGCTGCGATCCAGCGGTCGCGACGCGGCGCTGGCGGCATCAACATCGTCCACACGATGGGCAGCCCGTCGGCGGGGGCGCTCGCCCTGCTCGACGACGACGATGGCCCGGACGCCGGTTCGCTGGCGCTGTCGCTGGAGACGAACCAGCGAGCGCTCATGGACATGGCCGCGGCGCTCAAGCGCGAGCCCACGCCGCCGGGCGACGGCGGCCTCGTCGTCGCCGCCGACGACGGCGCCGCGCCGTCGCCGCTGCTGCTCATGCCGGACAAGGCGCGGCGCTTCCTCGAGAAGCGGCCGAGCTACGGCAGCTACGGCGCCGACGGCCACGGCGGCGCCCGCGCGGCCGTCGTCTCCGTCGACTCCGAGGAGCTCTCCCGCGGCGACGACGACGCCGCGCCGCCGCCGCCGGCGCTCGACGACCCGCCGGCCGCGCCGCCGGCCGCGCGCGACGACCAAACGGCCGCGCCGCCGGCCGCGCGCGACGACCGAACGGCCGCGCTGCCGGCCGCGCGCGACGACCAGACGGCCGCGCCGCCGCCGCCGGCCGCCGCGGCGCCGTCGCCCCGGTGGACGTACGGCGGGCGGAGCGCCGTGGCCTTCGCGCGCGCGCGGGGCGCCGAGGTCGCGCGGGAGCGGCGCGACCACGCGCGCGCGCTCGAGGCCATGGCGCGCGGCGACGGCGCGGCGCGGACCGCGCGCGCGGACCCCGCGGCGGCCGCACGCGCGGCCCGGGACCGCGCGCGCGCGGCGGCGACGGAGCGGAGGCGCGCGGAGCTCCGGCGCGCGCTCGAGGCCCGCGCCCCCGCGCCGCCGCCGGCGAAGACCGTCGACGTCGAGGCCTTCGCGCGGCACGCGGCGCGCCTCGGGCGCTGGGCCGACGACCGCGACCGGCGCGCCGCGGATCGCCGCGCGAAGGCGGAGGCCGACGCCGCCGCGGCGTGCTCCTTCGCGCCG